TTATTAATACACAACTATTATTTTGTTACAAATACTTATAATATTTATAATTAACATAATAGTTGATATAAGTCCTTTAAAAATAATATATTTTGATTTAATTGTTAAATTTATACATGAGCAATTTTCCTTGTAGCGTTGTTTACATTTTGCAGAGAAATATTGTATTCTGCTTTTAGCTGATAAATCATGTACATGTAAATGGGTTGAATTTAGACAATGTTAATGTTTTTGTTACTACTGCTGGCTAGAAATGCTGGGCTGGGACACCAACAGAAAAAAAGGAAGCACAAAGCACTAGATGTTTTTATCACTTATACACGTACAATTTACAACCATTCAAGTAACTAGCATGTTGGAAATACTTCACGAAAACATATTAAACACAAATCAGTCGAAGGCAATGTATTTTCTTTTTATAACACACCTTTTTAGCTTGATTACTTTTAGTACTCTATTTATTCCAATGTCCTCAAATAAAACGAGCAATAATAAGGATAAAACACACACTGAAGTGTATTTGGGGTATTTTTAATCTAAATACACTATCAAAATAACAAATTTTCCGTTTTTAAGCTGGGAATGTATTACAAAAACTACTTCGATAAAATGTAAACAAAAGTTTATATTTGTGTACGAAATATGGGTTGCCTGCGCATGGTAGCGAGTTTTTAACCGGATTTATGACAAGTGATAGGTTATATCCCGAAAACGTCAGCGCAGTAAAAGCTGCGCGTCTTTTTCCCGCCCAGGGAGTGTCATGGGCCTGTTAAAACATAGGGCAGCGAGAGAACGGTTAGTAGACTTAACACGTGATCGGCAAGGTGGGGGAAAAAGCTTGAAAGCTTGTTAAAGCTTGGTAAAGCTTGAAAATAATTGGTAAAGCTTGAAAAAGCTTGGTAACCAAGCCAAGCCTGGACTTATAAAAATCAAGCCAAGCCAAGCTTTATGTTTTAAAAAAAGCTTGATTTTCAAGCCAAGCCAAGCTTTTTGTTTTCAAGCCAAGCTACTTAGCTTGGTTAGAAAATACTCATTTCATTATGTTCTGCCAGTGCCTGGAGAGGCTCAGGAGGACATACATATCTACTATTCCAATTTGGGTGGGTATTGATTTTCTAGCACAGTAATACTAACATGTCCACTTTTCGAGAAAACAAAAAGCAAGTAGCAATAATTTTCTTATTAAGAAATTTGATTGCATTTACTTATATTAAAAAAAGAATCTGTTAAAATGAAATTGTAACAATTGTCTTCTAATTATTATTAGTCTGAATTTTAGGTAGGTACCCCTCTATTTAATGTGTGTGGGCAATGTTAAAGGTGTTTCCCCATCCTTCCAAAAATACATATTGTTACGCTGGTTTTTGGTATCACAATTTATTTTAACTAACTTTAACAACAATTATACAACTGATACAATAACTTCAACTGATAACATTAACGTTTAACGTCTATCATAAAACTGAACTCTGACGTCTTCTGAAAACTTCTCGAACAATCTGGACTTTTCTTTGACAAGGAATGACATTTCGAGACTTTTCGGGAATATTCTTCTTAATTTACTCGTACCTTTACTTATGATGACCGCAGCACAATACAGGGTGCTGCGTAACAATATAAAAGACAGTTATATTGAATATATAAATCAGTTTTGCTTTTCGGATTTTATCGGGTGATATATTATGTGTAAAATACTCTTATAATGGGTTTCCACAGACATTGTCAAACCTGTTCTTTACTGTGAATCACATCACGGTTTTTTTATGCTGTAGTCAGGTATAATAATAATATATACCTATTTATATATGATGTATGAGATACGAGGGCTGTTTTTTTTCCGCTGATCCTATCTGGTAGGCGATGATATTTTTGCAACAAATTTTGTCTGACATTTCAATCTAGTTGTTTACAAGTTTAGTTAGTGACAGTTGTCAAATATACCTGGTAAGTTATATAAGTATAAAGTAATCCTTTCACCAATACGTGATGGAAATGAAGCAAGAAGCATTATCAAGCTGTGGCTTAAACTGTAAAGAATGTTTTTAGGAAATAAATCGAGGGTTTGGTGACAAGTCGCGTTCCTTTGCTTCCGTAAATGAATTTCAACCTTAAATGACAATGTTCGAGCTCCTAAGCCAAAAAGGCAGTTACAGAAAAAATATTGATCTTATTCAGAACATGATTATTCCTTCGCCCGATTATAGGAACTTTATTTTTTACCGGGCATACTAAATTCAAAAAATATGTGTATATAGTAACTAAAATGTGTATTTCTATATTTGTTTAGGGTTTCTAGAATTGGTTAAAGCTGTTAAACGATTGATTTTGATAAAAAAAACACAAGTTTTATGAGAAAAATATATTGAATGACACTTTTTAAAACATTTTTTTTTTTAATTTCTCATATTAAACGTTTATAAATGACTTTTAAACAAAAAAAAAAATGTTTCTAACAAACAAACCTAAAATATAATAATTCTAGATAACCTGCAAGGAGTAAATTATTAAAAAAAAAATAAGTTCAAAATCTTTGTCTCTTAATTTAACTGTCTTTGAAGGTCCAGGATTACTTCCATTACCCATTTTCATATCCTAAAAGAAAAACTCAAAAATATTTTCAAGAATGGGTTTCATAGATGCAAAAATTCATCGACTGTGGAGGAAAATACTGTGACGATAGTCTAATTTATTTATAGTTTATTTATTTAAAACACATTATTTACAATTTTTTATGACGTACTATTTAATTTATATAATACTTAGACACTAACTCACAACTCTAATTTATTTATTACAATTTATGTGTTCAGTCAAATACTCTATCCTAAACTGTCTATATACAACTGACTGCCGTCTTCAAACTCGCGATATTTATATCAAGCCAACTCTTTAATAGACGGTGTGAAATGTCCTAGTCTTCCACCTCTATGACTCAATGTCACGTACCTACCGCTTGTTCTGGTATATCCGCGAAGCGTGTGATTATCTCGGGAGTAAATAAAGGACAGGGTAGGTTTCGCGCGACAATACTTTGAAAAATACAAATTAATATTTTTTTAAATAAACTACGTTTTACTTTACTAGGTACAACGGAAAGAGAACACCCCTCGTATATTTTGAATAACAGACATTTATGGATTTAGCATATTAATTTATTAAAATTATTAATAATTTGTTTACTCACATTCCTCTACCTAACAAGTGTAATTAAACGAAATGTCCTTGTTCCTAAGTGTGTATTTCTTATTCATTTCTGTAAGTTTAGATGTTATCTATTTGTAAATGTAAAAATCAAAGACGATATATACACGGTATATCATTAAGAATGGGACACAGAACAACTGAAGATTCTCTGATTAAAAATAAGACGATTAAACGATCGCTGGGTTTTATTCTTAGAAATGCGAAATGTTTTAATAATATTAATACATTGAATCTTTTATTTTCGGCTTTTATAAGATCGCAACTAGAATATGCTTGTGTTATTTGGAGCCCGAATTATATTCATATTTCCGTTTTGGAACGAATGCAAAGAAAATACTTTAAGTCGGCTTCTTATATCTTGGACCGTCTTTATTCCGTTAAAGACACACATCAAAAACAATTTTTTCGCTTTGATAGCTCTGTAGTTTAATTCGTCATCGGTCAATGCATTCAATTATGTTTTTATATAAAATTGTTGATTATATTTTTAAATGTGATAATATTGCATCGTCACTAAATTTCAGAGTTCCTAGACCAAATTCTAGAACTAACAGTCTTTTTTATGAATTACCACATAAGACAAATATTTGCAAATTTTCACGGTTGAATCAGCTCATCATTGACTACTCTTCGATTAAACCACGCACAAAACCGCTCAAATTAAAAAAAAAACATTCTTCAGGGTAATTTGTAGAAAGGACGGATGTCCAGAATTTGGTCAATAATTTCATATGTAATATATGTGTAATCTTAAATCATAGCTGTATATGAGTGCTTACTTTTTTCTATTAACAGATATACCTACTGCTTTGTAATATATTAAATTAATTAAATTCTTAAAACAGACACCTGTCTTGTATATTTTTAATCATTTTCAGAATAATGTCCTAACTCCATTTTGTAATTTTTTACAGGATCATAGATCTCTCTAAAGGTAGTGTATTGAAATATCCTAAATTTTGGTGCAAATAGGATAAAGGCTTAATAATAAAATACTAAAGTAACAAAAGTACATACTTCAAATATTCTCGCTAATAAAGTTATATGCATTACATAATTTCCCTTTCCTCTAAAAATTTACATAATGGAATTAGGACAATATTATTCTGGATATGCGAATATATTCTAATAGTCCGGGATCCCAGGCCCACTTTCACCCATGATTACTGACAAGCAGATTTTTTGTGAGTAGCTTCATTTTAACGAGACGCCCAACTTTTTTCTTACAACAATTTTGGCAAACGGTAGCTAACAGGGGAGCGGGGGTGAAATGTGTTGATTTGACGAAATTGAAAAATTTATTACTAACTGAATTTTTCTTTGTTAATTCCCAAGATAATTATCTAAATAAACCGAGGAAATATTTGTCCTACAAAATTTAAGGTTTTATCAAAGAGTCCCACCTCTCCAACATGTATAATTAACAAGGTCATGAAAAATAATTATTAACCAGCTGACTTTTTTTTTTCTATTGGTTAGTTAATATTAATATAATTGAACACCCACATTGTCCTACAAATTACGTGGTACGACATCCTGGTCCTACGATCAAAAGTTGCCAATGCTACAAGACAATTTTTTTTATTAGTAACTGTAGGACCAAAGTATTATGTGATAGATATTAGTATGTTTTTCGTCCAAATAAAACAATGTCCTACAAAAAACAGGTATGTATTGCTAGTCCTACAAGAATTGTCATTTTCGTTTCCCTATTTGTAACACAGCATAAAGTGACAACATATTTCTTGAAATTAAAATAACTTTATTTTCCAATGTACATAAAAAATCTGGGTTTTTTATATAAACAAAAAAAAATCTTTATCAGATTCATCGGAAAAATCTTTATCATCTTCGTCAACAGCATCAGTCTCATCTTCATCTCCTTCTTCTTCACTTTGTTCGTTAGTGACGTCTGACTCTTTAATAATATAAAACAATTAATAAATCGCCGAATAATTAATAAATAATTAAATAATAATAATATTAATAGGGTTCCTTGTAAGTCAGAAGATAATTCTTCGAAAGATGGGTTTTGGGGACTATCAAACCAATAATATTGATATTTATTATCAATTATTGTCCATCCATAATTTTCTGGCAATTTTAAATTGATCACATTTAAGAATTAGAATTGAAATCCTTCCCTTTAAAAAATAAATAAAACAGTAGTTAAACAAAAATATTATAAGAGTCGATATTGCTAAGAAAAGTTAGCATATAACTAAACATAAACTCGATCTGGTATCAACGAATGTGTTAATAATTGTTGAGTACCTATCTATAAAAGTAGCACGACCCTCGTGCATTCGGATCATGAAATAAACAGTAAAAACTGGAGACTTTACGAATACTTGCACTTTATTAAATTATTATTCGTGACTGAAGACAATTTATTAATGATAATTATAATATGTTTACTTGTTTTAATTAACAATTATTTCATAAATATGTAGCTTTGTTAAGCGAAAACAAAATGTATTACCCGTCAAGCCATTTTGATAAATACTATTTTTTATATGAAAAACATTAAAGATTTGCTACAGAAATATCATAACAAAATCGGTAGAAGCGTGTTCCTCTGTATTCTTAAGTGTAAGATTTTTTAAAAATTGCAATTTGTGTAATAATTCCGTCACGCTCATTGCGATTTTTGTTCGTTAAAACTTCTTCAAGGTGTAAAAAACAATTTAGTTGTTCCGTTTCTGGTAAATCTAAAAATTTACAAATCTTTTACAAATATAGCATAAAAATTGAAAATTATCGGAATGTGACGACAAATCGAACCTTCCACTTATTGATGTTATACCAAGTGTATTAAAAAAATTGTTTATTTTAATTTCCTGTTCTTCGTCTGTAATTGGTTCATCGTCATTATCGTAATTAAATTGTTTTTTAACACGCCTTGGTCTGAAGACTTCTCCAGTTTTAAAGGTTGGCTATACATCTAGAGATTTTGCAAGTTCAGAAGGATCAACTAACAGAAACCGCATGAAAGTTATATTAAAGTCTGTATTAGATGCTAATAAATTAGTTACAAACACTCAATTAATTACTGAAAATTTAAAAGCGTATATACCTAATCAACTACTTGAAATTAAGGGTTTAATTAGAGACGTTGATACAAAATACGACATTGAATATTTAAAAGAAAACATGACCTCTAGTTCTCGTATTTTTGATATTACATGTGTAGAAACAACTTTTCAGTTCAGTTTTATCAAATCTGGAAGCTAATTTTCCAAAACTTCCCAATAGTAATTCTGAAAGATTTTTTCAACGTAACCATCATCTAGTAAACGTCACTTTTAAACACGCAGCCAGTAAAACAACTAAACATTATAACAATAAAAAAATAAAGGCAACTTCTCCGACTACTCGATCCCCTACACCAACACCCAGTATTCCTTTTAGATTTGGGCTCTCTCAGCCCTTGCCACCTAATCCATATCCACCAAATTACCACAGCTTTGTTCAACAAAAAAACTAATCTTATAAACTCACTGGTCAATCACTTTACTGAAATTTTGAAAAATATTAAATCTATAGAAGAAGCTAAATTTATAGATGGTGTGACACATTTGCTAAAAATATAAATATGGTACTGGATAAAGCCCTTAAAAAAATTAGCAATGGATTTAAAATATAAAATAAAAATTATTCAATGGAATGCTCGCTCTGCAGTTTCAAATAAAAATAGTTTAATGAATTTTTTGTTAAATGAAGATATTGACACAGCACTTATAAGTGAAACTTGTTTTAAACAAAATATTGTCTACAATTTTCCCGGATATCACTTGGTACGGGAAGATCGTGACGAGGGCTATGCTGGAGTCGCAATATTTATTAAAAAAACAATTAAATTCGAGGTTCTGGAAATCAATAAAAAATTTAATAATGAATTACTCGCATGTGGGATCAAAATAAAATATAACAACAGCAATTTAAATGTTCTATCGGTATACAGATGCTCACAAACCAAAACTAAAACTGAAGATTGGCACAAGTTATTCTCACAAATTAACCACCCTTGCATTATTGGAGGCGATATGAATGCGCATAATTCTATTTGGGGTTCTGCCAAAAAACGATTCTGTAGGTCAACAAATTTTAAATACTGTACATGATTTAGATTTAGTAGTAATGAATAATGGCGAACCTACTTGTCAAACTGGTCCTGGGAGCCTTTCTATGATAGATATTTCCTTCTGTTCACCACAAATATTTAATAAAACCAACTAGGCAGTAGATGTAGATACATTAGGTTCTGTAATGTGAGCCATTTTATTATTCAGTCATGCTCTAATCTTTTAAGTCCCTCTGTCTTATTTGGCCTTTGAGGTTCAACTTGTCCGATTATCATACATAATTAAACCCCTTAAGACCAAACATAGCGACGACTATAGCGGAGGAGCTTTCGATGACTATTCAAAAAGAACTGGATAATGTTTCTAGTGTATTGGTGAGAATTTGTGAACATTCTAGCACCTTCGTCAAACTTTTAAATTTGTACATAAATATTGGTGGGGGATCTTACGGAAATCATTAGATATATGGACAGTGAAGATAAATAGTGAACAATTTAAAGACATTCGAAATATAAATAAATTATAATAGTAATGTTATAAAATAAATAAGTGTTTAAATAAATTATTAATAAATAAACTGTTGTTTAAAATAAACAAACATCACATTGGTGTCAGAAGTGGGATAGTGTAAATAAATAGTGGACAATAATGGCTAAAAGACTGTGTGATTTAAAAGTAACCGAGCTACGTCGGGAGTTAGAAGATCGTGAGCTGGAGACGACAGGGAAGAAAGCAGAACTGGCAGAGCGGCTTAAAGAAGAATTAATAAGTGAAGGTTTGGATCCGGAAACGTACTTTTTTTCGGATGATACATCTTCTACTATAATTTCTTCAATTTCTTCCGATATGAAAAGTAAGATGATCTCCATGAAAATCGATATTTCTTCTGATGTTTCTTCTATAAAAAATGATATAACTTCCTTAGAAAGTAAAGTTTCGTCCATTATTTCTTCCTTGGAAAAAAAGGTGACTTCTGACATATCTTCTTTAAAAACCGAACTTTCTTCCGATTAAAAAAAACAAAATCTCTTCTTTAAATGATGAAATCTCTTCTGATATGACTTTTATGAAAAACGAAATTTCTTCTATGGAAGATAAGATTTCTTCTGTTGAGGAGAAAATAATGACTTCGGTTGAGGAGAAAATAAAAGAAATGGAAAAGAAAATAGAAGAAATGGAACACGTAGACCAAACCAAGAACGGTGAAATAAAGTGCCATGAGGTGGAGTCGAAGTTGAAATTGGAAAGAGCTGTAAACTCTCCTCGTGTTAAAGCCCCAAATTTTGACGGGAAGATGTCATGGACGAACTACCTTAAGCAGTTCAAAACAGCTGCCAGAGCAAACGAGTGGTCTGAACGAGAGAAGGCAATAAATTTGACCATCGCCCTTCGAGGAGACGCTTTGGATGTCCTTCAGACTATACCCGTGGAAGAGACAGATGATTTTGAACAACTCAAAAAGAGACTAAATATGCGATATGGCCACGAACACTTGGAGCATTTGTACCAGTCACAGTTGAAGAATCGTAAACAGAAACGAGACGAGACTCTTCAGGAATATGAAATAGATATTGCCAGGTTGGTGCGATTTGCTTATCCATTAGCTCCGGAAAACATGATGTAATGTTTGGCAGTTCAAACATTTGTTGTTGGACTTTGTGACCACGAGATGCAAAGAACACTTCGTCTAGCCCGTCACAAAACATTGGTCGATGTCTTGTCCGCTGCCCTTGAATACGAGGCAGCTACACAGGCCTCTGGTGGATACAATAAAGTGAGGACTATAAAAGAGGAAGAAGAGGAAGGTAAACTCGATTAACTGGTGAATATGATGAAGAGCCTTACTGACAGAAAGATAAAGACGAAGACTATCAGGTGCTGGAATTGTGGTGAACTAGGACATGTACAGAGTTCATGCAAACGTCCAAGGGTCACAACGAATTAAGACAACACGCCGCAGGAAAACTAGAGCGGGTCGGCCTAGAGGGGGCAGCTTGGACCCGAAACCGTTCCAAAGACCCTCTCATACTAATAGCCTCTTTGAAATGTCGCGATAATAGTGTATACGTAGACGGCAAAATAAATGGTAAAAAGTATACGCTGTTAATGAATACTGGAGCAACTAGGACCATTATACGACCAACAACCATAAATAACCGTAAGAGGCTTCTACCAACAAGATTGCGACTACGGACTGCCACAGGTGAAAGTGTCAACATCCATGGGGAAATCCAGGTTCAATTGGAAATTGGTACAGAAAAGTTCACTCATACTGTTATTGTCGCTGATATCGAAGAAGATGTTATACTTGGAATGGATGTAATGAACTTACATGGTTTCCAGTTAGACTTTAAGAACAGAGGGATCAAAGTTGGTGCTCAAGAGGTATTCCTACATCCATATGGGGACAGTATCGTGCCAGTTGCTGTACAGGAGGATACGGTGGTACCTGGCAGAAGTGAAATCGTTATAGTAGCACGGCTACAAGAAACTATGGAAGAAGGAACACCTGTCATGATGGAACCTTGGAACCACGTTGAAGAGGTTGGATGAGGAATTCTGATCGGAAAAGGGTTGGTCACGACTGCTAAAGAGATTCCAGTTCGTCTTATAAACATTAATGATCACCTAATTACCATCAAGAAAGAGACCAGAATCGGAATTTGTGTACCAGTAACTTCCATAATTCGTCAGACAACTTCTGATAATTCCAACGACAAATTCGAGCAAATGATTGCAGTGCAGTTGCTGGTCAATCTCTGAATCCATTAGAGAAAAAGAAAATCAAGGAATTTCTTCAAATCACAATTTTTTAATAAGTTACATTGACAAT